TGACATTAGATTCGTGATCAGCGACCCCAAAAACCCCGAGTAACGAGTTTCAGTCAAATCCGATGAATTTTTCGAAAAAGTGTCCGCCATATTGGTTTTTTGAAGTTATCTCAAAATGCTGATTTGAAGGGGTAAAACGGACCTCGAATTCTGAATCAGCGACCCAAAAAACATAAAGTAGGCATAGTCAGACCCCTAGATCAAAACTTTTTTTTTGTGTGGCTGTGTAATCAATGATACCGAAAACCCCGAGTGACGATTTCGAGCGAATCTGATGATTTTGAAAAATGTTGTTGTCATATTGGATCTGCCATTTTGTATTTTTAAAATTTGACATGTATTTCTGATTCAGCGATTATAAACTCCATTTCGTAAACGTAAATTTCTGCTTATCACTTTGAATAGTTTTTAATTACCTACTATGCAGTAAAAAAAATCATAAACAACATTTTTGAAGGATGAAAAACCTCACTTTTCACACAATATATTTTCTACTACGCTAGTGTAATGAACATCTGCTCAATAACGAGAGCGACAACTTCCCAACGTCGCCCGCAGCGATAGAAGACGTTTCATAGTAAATCAAATACAAAAAAAAACAAACATAGTTTAAAAAATTGTCAGTTAACTATTTCGAATAACCTGATTTTTCTTGTGCGGTATTAAAGCTTGAAAAATAAGGAACATTTTTATCTTTATAGATTTTGTAAGTTATTAGGCCAAATATTTCCTCTTAATATGATTTATTTTACGCTATTTTTTTTATAACGACGTTTCGGCAGCTACCGCTACCCTTATCAAGTTATATTAAAATATTACTGGAAAAAATTTTTTTAACATTATAAAAATGAATAAATATATAATTTGTCAATAATTATTTTCTAACATCAAAATGAAGCAATTAAATATTCTACTTACATTTTAGTCATTTTATTTTGTAAATTTAAAAATATTTTTGAGGTCATCTTATTTTGAGGTTAACCATTGTTTTAATTTAAATGAAGCTAATGAAGTATATTAGAGGTTCAGGTAGTGTTGATACTTCAGATTACGATATTATCATATTAATTTATATTCGTTCATGTAGTGTTGGTATTCCAGATTACTATATGTTCATGTCAATTTACATTATTTAAAAAACCTTGATAGATGTTACTTAATTTTTCTATGTCAGTTTTAAAGTTTATTGAATGTTTATCTTTATTAATATAAACCATTTCAATAAACTTTCTTTTAAAATAATTTTCCTCAGTGTTCAGAATTGATATTTTATTAAAATTGTGATTATTTTCTGTGGCATGTTGAGATAATGCTGTATTTGATTTTTTATTGTTAATATCTCTATTATGTTCTGTAATTCTAGTTTTTAAGTGTCTAGAGGATTCTCTAATATATACATTATTACAGTTTTAACAAGGGATTTTGTATATAGTGTTAATTTTTTGAGTTTTTTCTACTATATCTTTAGTTGATATTAATATATTTTTTTGAAGCGTATTTTCGATTGATTGCACTATTCTAATAATATGTTTATTAAAAATATTATAAAATATATTTTTTACATTTTTTATATAAGGTATCACAGTATTAGTGATACAATTTCTTCCAAAAAAGAGTTTGTCTCAAATCCAATAAATAGGAGAAACATCGGACAGAAAAAAATTTCGACTAAAAAAATTTTTCGATCACTGCTTATATACCAATCTAATGGCACCTCAACTGTGAGAAACAGTTATGATGTTCGCCCTCTCTATGGCGTTGAGCAAACTAAAGTCCAGAGCTAAGCCATCAGCGCAGTGCGGGAACATTTAAAAAACTTGATTTTAATAGATATTTTATTTTATTTTAAATATGACAAATAATTAATTTAATAAATAATTATTAATAACATAATTTCATACTTAATAATTAGTTAATTAATTTTTTCAACGAAAATTTGCCAAAAAAAATTGTGGCTACGAATAAATTTTTGGTAAATTTTCGTAGTAAAAAAAATCAACTAATTATTACAGTATTTAGTTAATTAAATTTTTTGAGGAGAAAATTTGACAAAAAAGTTATTTTCTTATCGTGATAATTTTTTTAAGCCACAAAATATTGTTTTACAGAGTAAATTTAAAAATAATTAAATTTCTCATCGTGATATTTTTTTTGTGCTACGAATAATTTTTCTGTTAAATTTTCGTAGTACAAAAAATTAATTAACTAATAATTACGTTTTTTGGTTAATTAATTTTTTTACAGAGAATATTTGACAAAAAAATTATTTCTCATCGTGATATTTTTTTGGGCCACAAATAATATTTTTACGTAGAAAATTTGAAAAAAAATTATTTTTCTCTTTCAAAATTTCGGAAATGCGTCAATTGATCAAAATATTGACGCTTCTATCTATGCAAGGTCACAGGGGCAATTGAACTATTGACCTTACCCTTATTGTAAGATCTTCGATCGATTTATATTTGAAATAACGTCAGAAAGATTTTCCCGTCACAAACTCCTTAATTATTTTCACAATTTTTTGAAACTTATTACTTTTTTCTGGAAGCTCGAAAAAATTGAATGTTTCACAGTTTTTTTTAGATACAATTCATCTTCCATCAAAATTTGACGAAGGTATTGTTCTCCATTTCAGAAATATTAATTTTGTAAATTTTTTACTTGAAATATTAATTCTTAACTTCTGTCACGGTGGGCTTGGACTAACTTTAACCCAAAAGTACTGGCCCATCTCGGCTCTCTTCAGATATTAATTCCACATTATTTTCTGCGTAATTTAAACCTAGGATGAAAAAAATCGGTAGAGGGATTTAAGAATATTAATATTCAATATTAATATTAATCAATTCGATATCTAATCATAAATCAATTCTTTATAAAGTTGTCAAGTATTTTTAAAAGTGTCAGAAATAATACTCAATGTTTGTTAATAACATTGTTTAATTTTATTACTGCTCGCTCAAAAATGTCAAAAGCTAGAAGTCATGAAGAAAATCGTTACTGTATTTGCCTTTTTTGTTTCGGAAAGACGTCTATAATGATATCAATTAAAGGTGCAACAAATAATTTTTCATGACTTAATCATTTGTTGTACCTTTAATTAGAATTATTATTGACGTTTTTTAAAAACAAAAAAGGCAAACACAGTACGGATTTTCTTCATGACTTCTAGCTTTTGATATTTTTGAGCGAGCAATAATTAATTTATGGGTAATTCTCCGGGTAGCGTAGGGGAGGATGGGGCAAGGATAGTTAAGGGGCAAGGATAGTTAGTGGCTCTAATACAGAAACGGCTCGTCAAAAAAACGGGTCATTTATCATGTACACTCGTCTTAACACCAAAAGATGACAGTAAAAATTTGAGCTTGCGAGGACACTATTTGTAGAAGCTACGTGCCCATTTGTGTTACATCTCAGTTTTGCTAAAATATTTTCACCTTATTTTTATTATTCAATCTTATTTTTGCGGATATAATTTATTAAATATATTTGGTTGCGTAAATGTTTTCTGGTGTAAAATTTTGTGCTGAAAACGAATATCATATTCGTTTTTTAAAAAAAAATTTTTTTTGTACTAAAAATTTGTGATAATTCGAAAAAAGCGCTCACGGGGCAAAACTAGTTAGTGCCTTGTTGTAATACTTATGACAAGGTAATGTCTGGCTAACACAATTTTTTAATTGCAAACGAAATGCTAATTGCTTTTTATGGATCGCGATTTAATAATTTTTTTGTTTTTCAAAAAATTCACAAAAAACATGTTTTTTTTGATAAAAATGATCATCCTTAACTGCTAAGTTGTATTAAACATGATTCGATTTAATTAGAACAATAATTTTTATTGTTATTTCTTGACAAATATAATTCGATACTTTGAAACAATGGAAAATCAAATTTCATGATTTTTTGTATCATTCTTAGTAAAAACAAATTTTCAACTATCTTTGCCCCACTAGTGGGGCAAGGATAGTTAACAATTTTTTTTTACTTTTCCAAAATTATCTCGAAGGCATTGCAATCTACAAGAAAACAATGTATAGCAAAATTGTAGCTAAATAAACAGGCTTTCCAACAATACTATTCTTTTTCCGATGCCAGTTTAAATTTCACGGCTAGATCCAAAAATATCTTACCTAACTATCCTTGCCCCATCCTCCCCTCACAACAAAAGGATATTCAGGATATCCTTGGGACGTCCTGGGGATATCGATTTGTTTTCGGCGGTTTGGATATCCCTGGGATATCTTAGAGATGTCCATGGATATCCAGAGGATATCTTAGGGATATCCGAATCGCCAAAAGCAAATGGATATCCCCAGGACGTCCCAGGGATATCCTGAATATCCTTGTGTTGTGAGGGTCCCCTATAATTTAGTTATTGCTTTTATTCAAAATATATTTTTAAAATTTATCAAAAATTAACATATAATATAAATCCTACTAAATAACACACTCATTTTAATGAATAGAGCTTTTCTATGACGCACAATTAATACTGATTTTTTAAACAATATATAAGCGATTTTCATTCTGCTTCGTATTCAGGGAATTTATAGGTACAATTTATTTCTTAAAAAACACAAAGGAAATGGAATTGTACGCTTCGTGGAGAATCACCCTTATACAAGATTATTAACAAACATTGAATTTTAATTTTGACACTTCTAAATTGAATAGTCGCCAACTTCAGAAAAAATTTATGCATGATTAGAAATCGAATTGATTAGTATTGAACTGTTTTAAAGTAAAAAAAGGACTATAAAAAGTTAAAAATACACAAAAATCGACTAAATTCGAAAATCCCTCTACCGATTTTTTCCATCTTAGGTTCAAATTACTCAGAAAAATAATGTGGAATTTATATCTGAAGAGAGACAAGATGGGCCAGTACATTTAGGTTAAAGTTAGTCTAAGCCCACTGTGTCTGGTCATGCTATATATATTATTTTGTTTATGTTGGTTATTTTTAACATTTACAATAAATGTTTCTGTTCTTTTAGGTAATGGATATAACGGAAATCAGTTGTTGTCCAAAAGTCGTGAATATTTATTAAATTCTGAAGAATGTTTTAAAAATTGTCCAGATATGTGGGAAGTGAAAGAAACATTATTAAAAGTCAGAGCCCCTATAATAAAAGTTTATCACAGAGAATTGGAATTAAACTGTGATTTGTCTTTCACTAATGGTCTCACAGTGGAGAAAACGAAAATAATCAAGTACGAATACTATTTAATTTATTTTTTAAAAAATGAAAAATCAAAGTAATGGTAGTTTGGAGACGCATGAGTTTTCTCCAAATTTCAATTGGCCTAACACTTAATTAATCTAATTTCGATTGGCCTAAATGTCATACGGACTAATTAGTATTTAGCGTAATATATATGAGGCAAAATTCCTGAAATGTCCGAACAAAAAATTAAAAGTTCTCGAATTTAATCCATACTTTTCTAAAATGTTGTTATTGTTGGTAAAAGTCTAAAAATCAATTATTATTGAATTTAATAAAATAGTTTTTGAATTACAACGTTTTTAATTTTTGACTTTTGAAAAAAAAATTTTTTTTCAATGTACAATATTTATAAGTAGAATGCATAAAAGTTAACATATATATAATGATTTTTAAAGCTTTTTTGACGAGCTACACGCTGTTATTAAAATTTTTTTTTTAAATAACATTTGACCTTGAAATTCAAGGTCAAAATGTTAATTTACGTTTATCTCAAAATCGGATTTTTTAAAATTATTTTTAACTATCTCAATGGAAAGCTTGACTAATTTCCTACAAAACATGTAATTTTCAGAGTGGGATCTTTTAAAGTTTTTGAGATATTAATTAATTAATTAATTAATGTTTATAACAAATGAAATATTTTACAAACGAATAAAGTTACCGTAATTCTGAAGTTAGTATTTGAAAGTTAACGTAATTCCGCATCCAACGAGCCCTATATGAAGTATTTTGGATAAGTAGATTGTTAATAAACAATTAGTTAACATTGCAATTGTTTATTAACAATCTACTTATACCAAATACTTCATATAGGGCTCGTTGGATGTGGAATTACCTTAACTTTCAATTGGTAAGTTCAGAATTACCATAACTTTATTTGTTTGTAAAATATTTTATTTTTTACTAACAACAAGCATCCAAAAGCCCTATATGAAGTATTTTTGTTCAATTTTAGTTAAATAACAATAAAAAATGAAATATCTTACAAACAAATAAAGTTATCATAAATCTAAACTAACCAATTGAAAGTTAAGCTAATTCCGCATCCAACGAGCCCTATATGAAGTATTTTGGATAAGTAGATTGGTTATAAACAATTGCAATGTTAACTAATTGTTTATTAACAATCTACTTATCCAAAATACTTCATATAGGGCTCGTTGGATGCGGAATTACTTTTACTTTCAATTACTAACTTCAGAATTACGGTAACTTTATTCGTTTGTAAAATATTTCATTTGTTATAAACATTAATTAATTAATTAATTAATATCTCAAAAACTTTAAAAGATCCCACTCTGAAAATTACATGTTTTGTAGGAAATTAGTCAAGCTTTCCATTGAGATAGTTAAAAATAATTTTAAAAAATCCGATTTTGAGATAAACGTAAATTAACATTTTGACCTTGAATTTCAAGGTCAAATGTTATTTAAAAAAAAAAATTTTATTAACAGCGTGTAGCTCGTCAAAAAAGCTTTAAAAATCATTATATATATGTTAACTTTTATGCATTCTACTTATAAATATTGTACATTGAAAAAAAATTTTTTTTTCAAAAGTCAAAAATTAAGAACGTTGTAATTCAAAAACTATTTTATTAAATTCAATAATAATTGATGTTTAGACTTTCACCAACAATAACAACATTTTAGAAAAGTATGGATTAAATTCGAGAACTTTTAATTTTTTGTTCGGACATTTCAGGAATTTTGCCTCATATGTATATGAACTAATCCTTATTTGGCCTAATCTTAACATAATCTAATCTTAATACTGTTTTGGCCACATCTTTATCTGACCTAATTAGTACTTGACTGAAACATTATTTTCCATAATTTTGATTTAAAATAATTTTTATCTAGAATAATTCTGTGGTTGAAAAGCATAACAGCACAACTGCATTTGTCACGATTTTGAGAAAAATGAGTTTTAATATTCATTTAGCTCTGTCAAATCAGAAAATCAACGGATGTGTTTGGCATTCGGCATTTAGTCTCATTATTTAATGTATTTTTAAAATACGTTTATCACATTTAATAAAACGCACGAATTCATATGAAATTTAATATATTCTTAGTCAAATTGAAAGGTTTTGCAGTTATGTGTTTATGCTGTTCAAGTTTAAATATGTAACCAACTTCACTCTATTTTTCATGTCATAATAAATTGTCAAAATGAATTTAATAGCGACGTACGAATCTGAGTCTGAAACAAATATATCTGAAGGAGATGATTATAATCAAGGCAAAAGAATAAAATTATTATATATGTTTATTGTATCTATGAAAAAAATCAAACGAATATTTTTTAAAAATTGGTTATGAAATTGGTTAGGTTTTATGTTTACATTTTCGTAATTTCTCAAATTTAATATTTTTTGTGATGATATCGAGAAGAATTATGCGCTTATGCCTATCGCCTATTGCCAAAAGTGCAGTTATGCGATTAGGTTTTTCATCATTTTCTACTTAAATAGTTACATAAATGATTTTTCAACTATGGATCTTTGGAAAGCATTACTAAATGTACTAGAATCTGGTGTTATCTCAAATTTGATAAAAATGTCAGTTATGCTGTTATGCCTTTCAACCACAGAATTATCATTTGAACTAAACGTGGCTTAAGTTAATTTTGATTTGATCTCATCTTTACATCTCCTAATTTTCATTTGGTCTAAACATTTCACAATGTTGAGGCTTAACATAATGGAACACAATTTCAAACTCATAGATTTATTATTTTGTAACTTTAACACATCTTAGTTAACTACACCAAAAATTATCTTAATCTTCGAAAACATTTATGAAATAGAAAATGAAACTTTTAAGATCCATCTATACTCTGTTCCAGGAGAGATTGATATTTTTCTGTGCATCTGGTTGTAAAAGGGTGTGCTTTTAAATGGAAAAGTCGTTTTCTAGATTTTTTTTCTAAAAAATATAGCCAATGATATGAAAAGGATTGTAACATGTGTTGCTTTTTCTATAACTAAAATCAATCAAATTTAAAAGAAATTGTAAGAGAAAGCTTATTTGCTAAAACGGAAAAAAATATACGCCTCCTTTTATAGTTTTCTGCGCGTAAAGGGCCCAAATTCGTCCTCAAAAATATCGATCTCTCCTGAAACAGACTATAGTGAAGGAATAAGCTATTTATGATCTTGCAGATGTTTTTGTAAAAATGTAATACCGCCTAATTATTAACAAGGAGGCATTTACCTCAGGTACATACAATTTTTTCCTCCCCCTACTTACAAGAAACCAACCCCCACTACTTTGTAAACCTTTGAATTCCTCGAAATATGAATTATAGTAGGGGAGTCGAATGTGTTTTTTGGGATTAACTCGAGCGCGGCAGATGAACACAGGGAGGACACATTGCTTGTTGTTGAGTACCTCTTCCAAGTATTAACTCTTTTTATCAAGACATGCGTCTAGGATAGTCCATCAGGTTAGTAAAAACAATCGATGGTTGGAGATATTGAAGCGCGTCAGATTAAAGTAAGGTGAATTAATTACTAGCTAAAAAATGTACATTTAAAATATCTAACGATTTGAGCGTAACATAAGGGACCGGGAGGGTTACAAATTTGCAAAAAAAGACGTGGTCTTGACAGTCTCGAGCGCAGTTAATTTTTTTTAATTCGAAGGAAATAACACAAAAATCACAAACAAAATATAATCTGACAATTTCCAAAAGGCAAAGTAATGAAAATCGTCTATGGAGAATACAACAAGCATTCCCCACCTTCCTTTTTACTTTTTCCCTATTTTTGACTTTCTCATACAATACCAATTTCCGACACTGTTCTCCGTCGTCATAACACCATTACAGTGATCACAAAACAGCTGTCAGATTAACAATATTCCTCAAAATAATCGTAAAATTTTGGACTATCATGACTGCAGCTTCCGTAACGTCAGTCTTTTGAATGGGAGCACTTTTAGGGTTCATTTAACATCCTCCCTAAATATCCGACGCGCTCGAATAAATTTTTTTTTCTATTTTGTATCCATTTGGACTGCCACCAGCACCACGCAAACCGGCAGATAAACATACTTTTGGTATATCAAAACTATTAATATCTGACACGCCCAAGTATTTCCTTTTTTTACATTTTTGAAAATTTGTTTACGCATAACACACCTCTGAAAGGGAAAACTTTATAGAATCTTTTATTTTCCTTATCTAAACTACAAAATATCATCGTCCCGGCGACACTCGAGTAAATTCCCATTTAGAATTATGGGCTTCCCTACTATTAAATGAAAAATGGATTTGTAACCGAGATGTTAAATCCATACGTAAACTTGTCAACTTTCTTCATGATGTAAATAAGTAATAATAAATTCTGTTATGTTGTAAACATTCTTTGAAATTAATTATCACCTCTCCATTTACACTTTCTTAAATTTATCTTACCATTGCATAAACACATAACATAATTGTTATTTGTTCTAATATTTTCCTGACCTACTTTCTGTTTCGCCTATTCTTTCTCTGGCCTAATTTTTCTGTGGTCTAAAATTTAATTTGGCATAATTCTCATTTGGCCTAATCTTCCTATATCCTAATTTTTACTTGTTCTAATATTAATCTAATCTAATTCTCAATTGGCTTAAGGGGCGTTTAGTTCAAATGATAATTAGCTAATTAGCTAGTTCATTTACATATTACATTAAGTACTAATTAGTCCGTATGACATTTAGGCCCATCGAATTTAGGTTAATAGTTAAGTTAAATAGTTAAATAGTTTAAGTTTTAAGCCATTTTAAATTTGGAGAAAACTCATGCGCAAGAAGACTAGAATAAGGAGGTCTAACTCAGGTAGTGGGGGTACGTAAAGAATTGGTTTTCGAGGTAGGCCGAAAGGCAGAGTGTGCGGTAGACTTTTGCGCACACCAATACATATACATTTTTGTTGCCTTGTCAAGAATTACTGAAACTTGTATGTATTGGTATGCGCAGAAGTCTACCGCACACTC